TGCCAATCAAACATCAGGGGCCCTTGCAAGGCCACCGCATCCAACAAAACCTGTGTCTGTGGGCTAGAGAATCCCCCCTCTACAGCCTTTTTTAACTGTAGCAGCACCTTACAATCTACCGGCTGCCACTGATGTCCTTGAGACCCCGCGAAAACAGGATAGCACCCTATCCGCACAGGACTTGGCATTATTTCACAACCTGAGAGAAGACATTCTCTCGCACTAATAGTCCATTTTTCTCTTGCCTTTTGCACCTCCTCGCGGATGTGCATCGGCTGCCGCGGGGTAGCCTGTCTAGGATCCCGAGACTCCTCATCTGTTGAACTCTCACTATCCACTCATTCTCTCTCTTGGGGCGCAGCACCCTACGGAACGGGAATGCAACGCATGGACGATGGTAGGGGCTTCTCCGAAAAAAGCTCCACCCGCGCTTCCCCTCCTGCCCGCTCTCCAGGGTCAAACGCAGGGGGGGCTGCATACAGGGGCGGCCGGAGGGAGCCCGAAAATGCTGGCGGATGCCACCCCTGCCCCCTCAGGACCCCCAGCAGGGAACAAATAAGGGCCCTTCTTATTTACCCCCCAAAAGGACCCGTCCGATGAAGTATGTACGGTGCTCCCTTCCGCCGGAGGAGCACTAGGTGTTGCTATTCTTTCACGATCCAACCGAACTTGCAGGGGGGCCACAAAAGGTTTCCCACCCTCTTCTTTCTCCTGTTCCACATTATTTTCATCCCCGATCGAGCCTCCTCCTTCGCCTTCCCTGACCCCTCCTTTAGATTGTTTTTTATCGGGAAAGTAGACTCAAGATTCTCCGGGCCTCCAACTAGAATTTCCTAGCAATGAACTTGGTAAAACCAAGTACCACTGTCTTCAGTGGTTCAGGGACAGGCACGAAAGACCCTGGCAACTCTGCCAGGTTGGAGCATCTATAAGCAGAGTTGGATGCCATGGGCAGGCATTCACCTGGCATTCCTGGCAGTAAGGGATAAGGCAAGCACACACCCACAGCTTCAGCAGATGCATGTGCCCTTGAGCTTCCTCAGCAGCCTGTGGGTCAGCAGACTGCATGAAGTGGTGTGGACGCACACAGAACCTGCACCAGCAGCAGGAAGCCCCTGTAAACAGGGGAACCCACACCCAGAAAAGAGGATGTGTTCTTGTAAGCTGCACTTCCCACCGCAGGAGTGAGGGTAGGGTCAGGAGCTTGTGCAAGTGTGCGAATGATCACTTGTGGGGTCTGGAGTTCTGGGGGTAGTTGCAGGAAGCTGTTTAGAAACCCATAGCTGTTTATTAATGTGTCATTGATCCATTATATCACAGAATCACAGAATCTCTGAACTGTAGGGGTTGGAAGGGACCTTGAAAGATCACAGAATCACAGAATCACAGAATTTCTAGGTTGGAAGAGACCTCAAGATCATCGAGTCCAACCTCTAACCTAACACTAACAGTCCCCACTAAACCATATCCCTAAGCTCTACATCTAAACGTCTTTTGAAGACTTCCAGGGTTGGAAGATCATCAGGTCCAACCCCCCTGCCAAAGCAGGTTCCTCAGAGCAGGTTGCCCAGGTAGGCGTCCAGACAGGCCTTGAATATCTCCAGAGAAAGAGAATCCACAGCCTCCCTGTGTAGCCTGTTCCAATGCTCCATCACCCTCACCCTGAAGAAGTTCTTTCACATGTCAGTGCGGAACTTCCTGTGCTCTAACTTGCAGTCATTGCCCCTTGTCCTATCCCCACAAACCACTGAGAAGAGGTTGGCTGCATCCTTCCATCCCCCACACCTCAGATATTTATATACACTGAGGAGATCCCCTCTCAGTCTTCTCTTCTCCAGGCTGAACAGACCCAGGTCTCTCAGCCTTTCTTCATAAGGAACATGCTCCAGGCCCCATATCATCTTTGTGGCCCTCCGCTGGACTCTTTCCAGGAAATCCCTGTCTTTTTTTGTACTGGGGAGCCCTGAACTGGACACAGTACTCCAGGTGAGGCCTGACCAGGACAGAGTAGACGGGGAGGATCACCTCCCTTGACCTGCTGGCCACGCTCCTTTTAATGCACGCCAGGATCCCATTGGCCTTCTTGGCCACCAGGGCACAGTGCTGGCTCATGGTCAACCTGTCGTCCACCAGGACTCCCAGGTCCTTCTCCTCAGAGCTCCTCTCCAGCAGGTTGTCCCCCAGCCTGTACTGATACATGTGGTTGTTCCTTCCCAGGTGCAGGACTCTACACTTGCTCTTGTTAAACCTCATTTGGTTTCTTCCTGCCCATCTCTCCAGCCTGTCCAGGTCTCGCTGAATGGCAGTACAGCCTTCTGGTGTGTCAGCCACTCCTCCCAGCTTTGTGTCATTGGCGTACTTGCTGAGGGCAGACACTATTCCCTCATCAAGGTCGTCGATGAAGATTTGACGAGACCGGACCCAGCACTGACCCCTGGGGAACACCGCTAGTCACAGGCCTCCAGCCAGACTCTGCTCTGTCGATCACAACACTCTGAGCTCGGCCAGTCAGCCAGTTCTCAACCCACCTTGCCGTCCACTCATCTGTCCCACAATTTCTCAGCTTTGCTAGTAGGATGTCATGGGAGACAGTATTGAAAGCCTTGCTAAAGCCACGGTAGATGACATCCACCGCTCTCCCCCCATCTACCCAGCTGGTGATGCCATCACAGAAGGCAATGAGGTTGGTCGAGCATGACTTCCCCTTGGTGAATCCATGCTGACTACTCCTCATAACACCTTCTCTTCCAATTGCTTGGAGATGGCATCCAGAACAAGCTGCTCCAATACCTTTCCAGGGACAGAGGTGAGACTGACTGGCCTGTAGTTTCCCGGATCCTTCTTCCTGCCCTTCTTGAAGACCGGAGTGGCATTGGCTATCCTCCAGTCTTCAGGCACCTCACCCGTTCTCCAGGACCTTTCCAAGATGATAGAGAGCAGTTCGGCGATCACATCTGCCAGCTCCCTTAGCACACGCAGATGCATCCCATCGGGACCCATGGACTTGTCTGCGTTGAGCCCACTCAGACACACCCGAACCACTCTCACGTCCACCAGGGGGGAGCCCTCCATTTCCCAGACCCTTTGTCCTATTGCCAGGGGCAAGGAGTCCCGGGGGAGTGTCCCCGAAGCAAAGACTGAAGCAAAGAAAGCATTCAGTATCTCTGCCTTCTCAGTGCCCCCCATGACCAGGATACCCCCCTCATTCAGCAAGGGACCCACCTTATCCCTAGTCTTCCTCTTGCTGTTACATACTTGAAAAAACCCTTCTTATTATCCTTTATCTCTTTTGCAAGCCTCATCTCTAGGTGGGCCTTAGCCTTCCTCGTCACGTCCCTGCAGGCCCTGACAACACATCTATACTCCTCCCAAGAGGACAGGCCCTTTTTCCACATTTCATAGACCCTCCTCTTCCTCTTGATCTTATTGATGAGCTCCTTGCTTCTCCATGCGGGTTTCTTGCCCCCCTTCCCCAATTTCCTATTCCTTGGGATGCACAGACCCTGAGCATGGAAGAAGTGCTGCTTAAATGTAGCCCAGCTCTCACAAGCACCCTTGCTTTCAATCAATCTAGCCCATGAGATACTCCCAAGCAGGTCCCGGAAGAGGTTGAAGTTGGCTCTTCGGAAGTCCAGGGTGCAATCCTGCTTTTAGCCTTACTTCCTTTGCCTAGTCCCATTTGGAACTCCACCATCTCATGGTCGCTGCATCCCAAGCTGCCCCCAACCTTCACATCCCTAACAAGCCCATCCCTGTTGGTAAGAAGGAGGTCCAGGAGCACCCCCAGCCTCATCGGCTCCTCCACCACCTGCGTCAGAAAATTGTCCTCAACGCATTGTAGGAACCGTTTGGACTGCTCGTGCCTGGCCGAGTGGCTTACCCAGCAGATGTCTGGGTAATTGAAGTCCCCCATGAGGACCAGCGCTCGTGATCGTGAGGCTACTAGCAGCTGCTCGTAGAAGGCCTCATCGACTTCCTCCTCCTGATCTGGACACCTGTAGTAGACCTCCACCACCGTGCCTCCCATACCAAATATTCCTGATACTATTCCTGATAATATTATTCCTGATAATATTCCTGATAATGATCCCGAATATATGGATCATGGGTTGCCAGTTAACTACGTGTCATTAATGTACTGCATCAAGACCGATTAGATTTAAGCTGTGCAATATGAGCAGATTTTCCCTGTAACAGTTCCCTACCCTCTGAGTTTTCCTTCCTGATCAGCCACCCTCAGCTCAACCACAGAGTCAGGCATATTACAGAGCAAAACCAAACAGCACACATTCTCATTTTGGGGCATGAGTGGTACAATTCATCTTTGTTACCAAGCTTTGTTCTAAAATTTCATTCTAGAATCTCTCACTGCTGTGAACCCAGCAGCAAGTACCTTCTAGTAGTTAATTCCTTCTAGGACAATACCAGCAAGCATGTTTATGGACCGTCTTTCCAATGCAACAGCACTGTTGGCACGGTCTGAGCCTTTTGTGCACATTTCTACACACGGTTTAGGTTTGTCCTCATTTATCACCAGCTGTGTGCCCTGCCCTTCTGAGCCTTTGATGCTCATGTTGTTAGCTATCCCATGTCTTCCTCAGCACCTGCATGCCTGCCTCTTCACAGGGAGAAAGCTAACAGATGGGGTGTGGAAGAGCAGTGTCTGCATGCCCACAGCACTCAGTTCAGAGCACAGAGAGGCCCAGCAGGGCTTCTTTTTCCTTCGGGATATCCTTAGGGATACTTACATCCTCCGGAGTTTTCAATCAAGTCACCCCGAGCAGTGCTACAAGCGCCATGTGTGCCTCACGTAGTGGTGACAGAGTAAAGCTTCACGATCTGTCACAGGCAGGGATGCTGACATGATCTGGTGATCCCTTCTGATCTCTGGCTCCATATCAGCAAGTCATGTGCCCTAGTGAGTGTGTTTATTATTATTTATCCCTTTGCTAGCAAATACCAACAGCACAGGCATTTTCACACTCGTTCTCTCTCACCAGGGAAGGATAAACACCACTAATGTATCTTGTGAAGCTGCTTGAAAATGTGCAGAAGAAGATGGTCTGAGTGGCAGTGGTTTAGTTCTTCATCTGTTCTCCTTTGCATCTGTGAGTTTCTGTTTTGCAACAAGCCTCTTGTGAAATGTCCTGACAGGGAAACGATGAAAATTTGTCATCTCCATGTGCTGTGAGAAATACCCCAGCTATGGCTCTGTCTGCACATCACATTCGGTTCCGTGCAGACTGCCCGGCACTGTGGGAGCTGCCCTTGCTCCTCCTCCTGCAGCAGGGCTGTGATTGTAGCCATACCAGTAACGTGGACGGACTCTTGGTGGAGAAGAGCGATGGTGTGGCAGCTATAATGAACCAGGAAGAGCGGGTCAGTCCTGGGACTGCAGGTAACCATAAAGCCTTCCTTTCTGTCCTCCTCTAGGAGAAGGAGAAGGTGGGGGAAAATATGGGGCTGGGATATATAAAGGGCATGGTACCGTGGCTGGCTGTGTACCAGCAGAAAGAACCAGTGCCCATTCTCAGGGTAGAAACCATCTCTTCTGCATGTCTGTAATAATAATAATAATAATAATAATAACTAATAATATTAATAATAATAATTATAATAATAGAACGATTCTTATGAACGAAACATTTTAAAGAAAAGAAAAATAAGAAAAGGGGAAAAGGGAGGGGGAAAGGAAAAAAAGGGAGGAAAACAAACAAATAAAACTAATGAAGGCTATGTGGAAGTGCAGAGGAAAGAAATTACTCTCTACTTCCCACAAACGGGCGATGCTTGACCACATCCTTGAAGCAGGGCCTCAACGCACGTAACCGGTGTTTGGGAGGAGGACCGACGTTTTCACGAGAGCCCAGCCCTCCCTTCTTCTTCCTGTTTCCACCTTTTATTGCTGAGTGTGACATCATATGGTATGGAATATCCCTTCGGTTGGTTTAGGTCAGCTGCCCTGGTGATGTTTCTCTTCCCACTTTTTGCCCACCCCTAGGAGGGTTAGAGAGAGGCCCGATGCTGTGCCAGCACTGCTCAGCAGCAGACACAACACTCGTGTGATACCACTGCTGTTCCAGCTACAAGCGGAGAGCACAGCACTGTATGGGCTGCTGCAGGGAAAGTGAACATCCCAGCCAGACCCAGTACAGAGGGAGGTAGAGAAAGAGCATTCAGTGAAACACAGGGGTAATGGAGGGCAACCAGGAAGGTGTGCAGGTCAGGAAAGAGGTGTGACGGGAGAAGGAAAGTAGTGCAGCTTGAGAAGATCGCAGCTATGGCTTGTGACATGAAGCAAGAGGGCAGTTTCCATGTTGCCCTACGCTGCAGGTGTGACCCACTGCCAGTGACAGACAGCACGAGCTGGTTACAGCGCCTGTGGGACCTGCCAGGCCTTGGGACAGGGTTATCAGCAGGCTGTCAGGGCACGCAGCCCCTTGGATTATCCTGCCCCCCGACTCTGGGCCGGGGATTTCCACTCTTGCCTTGTGTTTTTCAGCCCCAGCAGAAGGGAGCAGCTGTTCCCGCCTGAGCCCCTGGGTCTTCCTCGCTTCTGCCCTTGCCGTCAAAACTGCCCTTATGACCGTCGGCCTCGGTGGGTGCCAGGGTCCCTTTACTTCTTCGGGGAGGAAGGGAACGGGGCCTGAAGTTGCCTGGTGTCAGGTGGACAAAGAAAACCCCAGCCTCTTTGCCAGCAGGCGACTGCCCTGCACCCAAACAGCCTGTTCTGCTGCCCCTTTCCCACGCTGCCTCTTAGCTGGGGAGCCGCGTCCCTTGCACAGTTAGCAGGTAGTGTCCTGGCAGGGCCTTCCCACAGCTCCTCTCACTTGCCCACCTGTGCAGATAAAGCCAGTCCTGGGTGAAACCCATCAGTTCCTGCCCTCCCACTGCAACACGGCCGAGAAGTCTCCTTAGTGCCAGACGACGTCTGAGCAGGTTCCCCGAGGGCTGGCTGTTGGCTCTCAGTTCTCCTGGCCGCATTTGTGGTGTCCCTCAGAGCTCCGCGTGACCCTGTTGCAGCCGAGGAGCCAGCATGATCTCCCTGGACATCCTGCTACCAGGGCTGCCCACGGTTGAGCAGAGTGAGGCGTAAATCCTCCAAAATGCTCCAGCTGCATCCCACCCACACCGCCTGGAACAAACAGAAGGGAAATATGTTGCGTGTAGTGTCCTGGAGTATCGTTACTGCTCTGCGATAACTCTCCTGTGGTGTTCAGCTCCCTTGGGTGAGGCCTCAGCACTCAGCAGTTCTTCCCCTCCTTGGTATGTGTGCAAAGGGTGCTCTAAAGCTGCAGAACACAGGCAGATTAAGAGGGAATGCACATTGATATTCCACCTTTACTAGGATGATATCAACTTCTTTGACCTTTTCCTGACCCCATCCTCTAAGGATGTCTTAGCTGGGCTTTGTCAGCTGGGAAAATGAGTCTCAGGCAGCTGAGGTGAGGGGGGCTCATCTGATCAGTGTTTGCCCAAGGGAGGGAGTGACCCGTAGTGGGGAAAGCTGTCTGCTCTTTTCCTCCAGGATACAATTTTCAGGGCTTGTTGGTGTAACCGAGTCTCTGAGGGAGCTCTCAGCCAGAAGGTGGAGGGCAGGACAGCTTGCCCATGAATGAGGATGAAAGGATGACAGTAGCGCCTTCCTTCTCTTTCCTCTCTTCCCAGTTGTTCTCTTTCACAGGAGCTGTGGCCAGTACAAGACTCTGCCTGAGAATGCTCAAGGGTGGCACTGCATCCCCGGTGGATCTGCAAGCCAAAGTGAGTGATGCTAAGAGCCTTGGGAGTGACACTGAGCACGTCCCCAAAATTTATTCTGTTGTAAATCAGCCTTTGAGTTTGGGAACAGGATTGTCAGCCAGAGCTGGATTGCCCTAGGGTAGGAAGATGGAGATGTGAGGAAAGAAAATGCTATGTTTTACAGTCTGACTTAGGATGCTCTGAAAACACGTCCTGGGCCAGTGGAAGGGGGTGGGGTTCTCCATGTCCACCTTCTGATCACTCGTCCCATTCTCTGCCCACATACAGCCCCTCAGCTCCAGTCCAGTTCACAAATCTAGCCAAAAGCACTTCATCCTTTTGTAAGGGATGGCTCAAGCCTGCGCTCTCCAGTGCCAGGGTTTCTGTTTCTACAAATGTATTGGTAAACATTGATCTACTACAGAAGAACACAGGTAAATTAATATTTTTTTTCTACTTCTTCCACTCCCTGGACTCTTCACTCTCTTGATTTGGTGCCAAGAAGGGAATCTGAGACAACTGCTTTGACCCTGATTAGATTTAAACTGTGTGAAATGAGCAGCTTTTCATTTCACAGGGTTGGGAGGGATGTGAAGAGAGCATTGGGTCAAACCCCCCTGCCAAAGCAGATTCCCTAGAGCAGGTTGCCCAGGTAGGCATCCAGATGGGCCTTGAATATCTCCAGAGAAAGGGACTCCACAGCCTCATGCATGGAAGGTGGGAGCTTTTGAAGAGTGTGAGCCCTGAAGCCTATATCCTCACTCTGCTGGGCGAGAATATGTGAGTGCAAGGGACATGGTGAAATATATACCTGTAGGTACTGGAAGAACTAAGCACCTCTCCAGGCAGAAGCATTGCAGGCAGGCAGGTTCGTTGCTTTTCATGTGGTTCTTGCAGCACAAGAATTCTTTGCTTCTGGTTTTGGTTCCTCTGCAGTCTTGCTTTGGACCACAGCCTCCTGGGCCTCTCCTCCCTTCCCTGTTCCTTTCATTTTTCTGGCCCCATATCAGCAGCAGCTGGTTACAGCATTTGGCAGTCACACCTTGATTGCATAGATTAGCACGTAGAGCCCCTGGAGAGCTCCTGTGTGGGGAACCCAAGAAGACAGTCCCTGTGAGGTCTGGGATTCAGGGCAAGCATCTTCATCTCTGCTCAGTGTACCAGAGTGTCTTTGTTGGTTGACTAGACTGGAAGGACTTGTTTGTTGGACATGTTCCATATTGAGCTATATTCTGTGTGTGATAGAAACAGCTTACAGATAGAGGTATATATAACCTGAAAAAAGATAACCTCATGCTTAAAAGAATGTGCCCATGCTTTTCGATCCATCATGAGACTTTCTGCATGTATGGCAAATTTCTAGGAAAACATGCACAGCTTGTGTAAGAAACTACCTGTGTTGGCAGTGAGGCTGCCAGCCTAGTTTACTGTGTATGTTTGTTCCTGTGTATGAGATGAGAGCTAATCACTTGGACAATGCTTTTCTGATGTCATGTCCCCAGAGGAGTGCTGCCAGCTACTTCCCATCTGACTTCCTCAGGAACAGTGAGGCAGAAAGTGCCTCTCCCCAGTGAGAGCTTGAATGGGCACGATAGAACAAGGGAAAAAGCTCTTCAAGCAGGGGCCCTGTGACAGCAATCTGTCAGGGTGTCAATGGTGCTGTTTGTGGAGCACAAAAGAGAGCATTTACCACAGTCCAGAAAAGAGGTGCAATTCAAACCCCTTCCCTGATACTTGGGGTTCTGCGCTGAGCTCACTGAGAAGAGGCACAGCACATCTTGTCCAACACAGGCTCTTCTTCCCCTACAGAGGACAGCTGGAAGTGCTGTCCAGAGGGCTGGACACCCTTTAAAGAAAGCTGCTATTACTTCTCAGATGATCAGATGCCCTGGGATGAGAGCCAGCAGAACTGCAGTGGGATGGGCTCCCAGCTGGTGGTGATCAATACAGAAGCAGAGCAGGTAAGTGCAGGGCTGGGAGAGGGGCAGAGCAGCCTGGAGACAGGAGTGCCAGGCCTGGAGGGGCTCAGAGCCCCTCCTGGCTCCTGCAGTGGAGGGGGGATGTCCTTGCTGCATGCACTCAGCACTGGCTCCAGTCTGCACCAGCTCCACCCCACTGGGACTCCTGCCACCTCCCTCTGTTCAGTCCTGAACTTCATGGACGTTGTACTCTACCTCATTTCCAGGCTTTCCTCTATAAGGAAATACAGATGAAATACCAACAACACGGAATCAATTTATACATCGGTCTGCCAAAACAGGAGTAGGGCCAGTGGCGCTGGGCAGACCAGACTCCCTATAATGAATCAGCAGCGTGAGTATCCCATGACGGAGAGTGTTTGGTGTGGCTCCGGGTAGAGCAAGAGGGTGGAAGAGATGTGAGGGTGTCTGATGAGCATGGGAGGGATATGCCATGGCTGTCTGTGAGAGGACAATGATGGAGCTGGCAAGGGCTTTGTAGGATACCAGGTTCCCACCGATCCATCCATGCTGGTTAGTGGTTAGCGATAAATTATCTGTGACATGGCCATCGGTGCTGTAGGCAGAGAAGAAGCTGCATTTCCTGAGGAGAATACATGAATTCATACAGGACAAGCCTTGCCTGACCTCCGTACTGCCCCACACACATGTGCAGGTGTAGGCACATGGTCTATGTTCCTGTAGGTGTGCAGGTGTAGGCACACGCTGGGTGTGCAGGTGTAAGCACATGCTGGCCAGTGCTGCATGCTGCAGAAGCAATGGGGTGCTGGAGAGATCACCAGGGCTTGCTTGCAGATGTTTCTTCTGGAAGAGACGTCCCTGCTGGCTGTGAAGTGCCTGGGGTGAGCTGTGGTGAGCAGCTCTGCCCACCAGGACTGAACAGCTCCCTGCTGTGTTGGTTCTAGGAAGAAGTCAGGTTTGCATGTAAGACTGCTGCCAGTGGGATTAGCAGAGTGCGAGGAAGGGTACGACTTCTGTCCATCAAACTGCATCTGGACTGTCTCCCCTCCAAGCCTTGTGTTCCAGGCGTGGCCTTTCCAGCAATTGCTTGCAGGGTGCACAGGGAGTAACATGTCTGTCTCTCTCTCAGGTTCTGGAGGCTGGGGAGCCAAGTAATAACAAGAGAGGTGTTGTAATCCATCACCAGAAATCTCCAGAACTGGAATGATGTCCCGTGCACAATCCTTCTTATCGGATTTGTGAAACTGCAGCAGAACTCTATGATGGAGGAATCCTCATCCTGAGATTAGCAGCAAACTGGAACAAGAGGGCTGTGTTGGGAGGGGTAGGAGAGCCTTGGAGCCTTTATCTTCCTCTGCTGGGTGGGATGGTGAGACTGGGAGTGATGTTGCTCTGCACCAGCATCCCCTGTACATGTGTATTTCTGAAAGTACTATGACCCCTGAAGTGCAAACAATAAATGCTAGAAGAACTCTGCCTGTGCTTTCTCAGGCTGACCATCCCTTCCCATGGTCGGTGAGACAGATTTGGCAGTGGAAGCTCCAGGCAAGCATGGCAGGTGAAGGTCATGTCTGTACGGGAAATGGGCCAATGCCTTTCTTTCAATGCCATTGCCTCCATGGGACTGACACAGGAGGGTTCAGGGTCATCAAAGCAGTTCCTGGGCTCTTCTGTCAGTCATCCTCTTCTCTCTGTGTGGGTCTGGCAGCTGCTGGCTGAAAAGAGCTGGAGCTCTCCTGAAGGAAGAAGATGCAGGAATGCAAGAAGGATGCTCAGAGCTGCTGTTCCCTTTTCTCCTTGAGAAGAGGTGTCTGCTTTGCTGGGTCATAGAGAGTCCTGTTCAGCATTGGTTTGCTGAACAAATACTGATTTCCTGTAAAGCAGAAAATACAATATTACACCGATAAAAAAGGCTCTGGGCTCACTCCCCCTCTCTCTCTTTCCCTTTCCCTCTCTAAGCTGAGGTATTTTGCACATGCACGTGCTTCATACCAAGCCTGTTGCTGTGCCAGCAAAGAGCCAGAGATGACTGCAGTAGAAGTTGCATACACCCAGTGAGTCTTAACGCTTCAGAGATAACCTGTGTGTAACGGTCCTGTCGCACACAGCCAGGGCTCTGGGAGGGACCGGGCACAGGAAACCAGCTGTGGGGTTTTCATATGTTGCCATGCTGAAGGTCTTACCTGAGAGAGAAACAGGAGTGTGCCAGGAGTCTAGCCTGCACATGGTTGACCAGGTATGAGGACATGGCCCCAGCAGCAAAATTAGTAGGTCCTTTGGTCACCCCTCCCACCTCAGAGCTAATCCTGGATCAACAGATGCAGCGGGCGTCCTGGGAGGCTGGCACCTCAGTGGGCCCTGTCAGGGCACACCTGCCCAGGCTGGACGATGCTGGAGAAGAGGCAGGGAGAGGCAGGGCGGTTGCTGCCCGTGAGGGCCCCTCCAGAAGTTCAATGCATATTGCCTTCACTTCCACCCGAGTCTTGCTGCAGACCGTGTGCCCCTGTGGCTCCCATCCTTCTCCACCCCTTTCTGTTTCCTGGTCCCTATGCCCCCACCTCTGTTTGCCTCGGGAAGCATCACCTGCCTCGGTGCTCCCAAACAACCGTGCCAGTTCCCCGCAGCGCCGATGTGCATCTCCTGGCTGTGTTGTTCTGTCCTACCTATAACGTGAGCCGTCCCTCTGTGTCCCAGTGCAGGGGAGAATTTGTACTGGAGAAAAGGTGGCTGACCAGGAGAGTTGGCTTCCTAAACCATCCATGGGAGTCGTTGTGTGGGTGGTGGCAGAAGCTGCCGAATGCCATAGCCCAGCAGACGCAAGGCAGCTGCATTGCCATGTCCTTAGGTCCAGGCTGTAGCAGGCTGAGTGTGTACACCAAACAGGCACAGCTGCACACATTCACACAGCGTGTACGTATACAGGTACAAGTATGCATAGCATGCAGACAGACAGATGAGCACTGCTGAAAAGCACTTACAATCACACCAGCAGCCTCACCCTACTGCCCTCTCTGCTGCTCAGGGTGAAAGCTTGTTAGCGGAGAATATACGCTTACATATGCAGTATGGATCCCTCCAGGTGTAGGATATCCCGACCGAAAGCCCCGGGACAAACGGACACAACGACCAGCGTTCTGTGCCATAAGCCAATTTATTACTGTGTGACATTATCTTATTTAGTGTCAAAGCGTCCCACCCAGGAACCCAGGACGCCTCCCACTGTGCTCGCAGGCACCCCAGACCCCTCCTTTCATGCACGCAGGCACAACCCAGAATAATCCCACACCTCCCCCCTCTTTATGCAGTAACGTACCTCTTTAACCCGTTACACTAAGCGTGATTTAATCATAATTACTTAGGGACGAGTATCCGTCCCAGGAGCAAGCGGTGACAATGGGAACCCTTCATGATTTTTGGTGAGAATGGTCAGCATGCTGCGATTCATTATACTGCTTCTAGCTATTTTTGCTTTAATACATGCATATACTAGCCCTATCCCAATGAATACTATTACCAGTAGCAATATTGTTTGTAAGAGCGATTTAAGCCATCCTTCTAGCTGAAAGCCTAACCCCTCGAGAGTTGCCTCGAGAGTTTTATTTTGTCTTCTACCTGGGCTATTTGGGATATGCCACGTTCTACATCGGCAGTTACATTCGGAAAGTGTATACAACAACGGTCAACCTTATCTTTAAGGTATCCACAGACGCCTGTTCCTTTAACAGAAGCATATCCAGGGCCAATCTATTCTGCAGGGTCATTCTTGTTGTGGCTTGTAACTGTATATTTAATTCCTTAAACCCCTTTTGGTCATGTTGGCCAGTCTATGTACTTGCCCCATCAAATTGTATATCAGCTCCCTATTGTGGTAGGAGGCTATCGGGGCAAACGATTCTACCACCCATCCTATTTTTATCCCAGTGGACGGTTCCTGCCACTCATCGTCTTCTTCACTTCTCTTTTTGTCCTTCTCTCTATGAGAGGAGATTTTTTCCAAAGTGGGCAAAGGGTGGGCAATCCTACAGTTATTTCTTTTACTGGGCCATCCAAACTTAAATGATCGTCCAATTTCCATCACTGGCGGCCCACACAAAATGTCCCATGCTTCGTATAGTCGAAGATTTACAATTCACTAAGGTCTTTTCCCTGCCAGTCTGGCTGGCTATATTCCGATTGGTGATACTCATGTTAACTTGTAGACCTCTGCATGCACATCCGGTGGCTAAGGCTATCTTTACTGGGAGCAGAGATATTGTTTCTAAAGCAGTGTCACAATTGAATATTTGTGTACAATTCCACCACGGGACTGCCTTTACCCTCTCCCGACTACTAGTTTCCCTCTGAGCCGTCTCATATAGTAAACTCTGGTCATTATTCGTCCTTCCTACCCACTGCAAACACCAAGGAGTATTCCCCCCATATTGGTATTTCTGCAGTATATTTAATGCCCATGCTGACTCCCAACCCTCTAATCCTCCTATCTCATTACCTTCTTTACACTTCCATATAACCTTTTCCTTTTGTCGTGTGCGTGGTGCATCATACTCACACATCCCTAGTCGTCCATCCTCGTTGTCTAGGTCCGTAAATATGTAATTTCTTTCCTTTTGACGCCCAGAATAAAGGCGAATCTGACACTCTCTATAAAACCCTTCCAGCATTTCTGTCTCTATGACCGTTTCCGATTCACATTGGATTGTTTTGTTTTTCTCAATCTGGGGTATCGTGATGTGATTATACCCCAGGGTATAGGATCACCTGCGGATTTAGGTATAGGTAAACAAGCGGTCACTTGACTCACATTCTGCATTTTTGCGAAATCTCTAATTAACCCTATCATTAAATTTTCCTCTTGATTGCTCCTTGCTTGCTGTGTGCACTGAACTGACCTTTTATCTCTCATTTTTAACAACACCGGAATTTTATAGACTCCTCGGGTTGCTCATGGGCTGCGAGCAGTGCGATGTGGCCACAATAGCAGACCCATAGAGCACAAACCAAGTGTCGTGTTAGCTGGAATCACCTTCCAAGCACGTTCCTGAGAACAGAGCAACCAATAGGGGTTAGGTAAACGCCAATGAGCAGAGTTCGAAACATGCGCGACGGACCGATTGATAAAGGGCCGTCGCACGGCTATTTACAGTCCAAGCATCCCCAGGGAAAAGTCCACCGGTGCAGGAGCTTGGCCCGGTGGCCCCACCCACAACCAGGCCACCGACTGATTGCGCACCGTGGTCTTAACTGTCCATGGCAGAACGGTCACATCCGCTATTGTCCCATTGTCCCAAATGTCAATGGAGCCGCACAATTGTGCCGTCGGCAGAACGGTTTCTTTTCCGTCCTCCGTCGCATGTGTGGTGCTGTCCATGACAA